ACAACATGTTGCGGGGAGAGGACAACAACACGACCACCTGGCTTCGCAAAGCAACTCGTATCATCACCATCGCCTCTGGCCACAACTATGAAGACCGCAAAATCTTATTTTAATACCGCCTTGGCAGAGCCTTCAACTCAAGACCTTGATTGGATTCCATATTGAATTCATGCTCTAGCCAACTCATCTAAAAATCCGAACTGATCGAGAGAGACGGGCAATATATTTCAACACTCATAACGAAAATGCGTGTGTGCGTGCGTTGATAGGGTTGAATGTATGTGAGCGTCTGTGCATGTACTGTGTTACAAAAAAAAGAACATTGGAGTATATATTACTACAAGTTTTTGTTTCTTTACACTAACAGAAAAAACTGTATGCTGTTACACTTAACGACGACTGACCCTGATGAGAACCACCTTTCTAATCCTTGCTGCTTCTACATGATCATCTCCTCTCCCGTTTCATGCATGCCTAACGTACGCCTCTCGCGCGCGTGCCATGCCCGGCCCATCTATCTGTTGGTGCGGCCATTTGATTATTTCTACCTATGCGTCGCTCTGTCTGCTGTCGCTGGTGGCGCAGTGCCGTCGCCGTCGCCGGTGGTGTTGCCGTTGAGGATGCAGAGGAGCTCGGTGAATGCGCCGAGGATGTCCCTGAGCGTGTCGCTGTCGTTGATGGCGATGTACCACAAGAGGAGGTCGTGCATGCGCGCGCGGTCGGCGCCGCGGCGCGGGTCCAGCCCCAGCGCCTCCGCCATCTCCAGCATGGACTTGAGGAACTCGGCGCGGGGAGCGTCCGTCGACAGCGTCACGCTCCGCACCGCCTCCTGCGACGGGATCATGGGGCCGGGCACGCTGCACGTGGTGCCGCCGTGGCAAGGGGCGGCGGCGTGCTCGGGGGAGGAGGAGTCGACGATGGAGTTGGAGCGGCCGGGGGGCGCGAGGGAGAGGCGGCGGGACGCGATGGCGGAGGACAGGTCGGCCTGCGCGTCGGCGTCGTCGGGGTCGACCTCGTCGAGGAAGGCCGGGGAGGAGGTGGAGGCGGAGGAGGGCGGCGAGACGGAGACGGAGGTGGAGGTGGAGCCGTCGTCGTAGGTGAGGTTAAGGAGCCCCGACGGCGGTGACCTGGGGGGCCTCCGGCCGCTCACGACGGCGGGGAAGCAGCCGAGCATTGCGCGGCGGTCCGTGCTTCTTGGCATTTCTGAAATTAGATTAGAGGAGAGAATGGAATGAGGCGCGCGTACGTCGTTCTCCGGGTGTGAAGAAGAAACAAGGAAGGAAGGCGTCCCTCCCTCCCTATAATTAGGCCGTCACTTTATCTATCTCTAATCTCATCTAAATCCCCGCTCCGGCTAAGGCAATGCAATCAATATACCCATCCCGGCTAATTAGCACCTATTTTTACGCCGAGTTTGTGCCGTTGGGATCGATGTGCGCTCGTATTATTGCTCACATGAATTGGACAGCTCGGATTGCTCCACAGATTATCTTGGTCATGCACCCATGCATCAACGCATGGATGCATCAGTCAACTCCCTCTCAAGAGTT